GGCTAAATATAGTAAAGTATTGAATATTTTCTTGGCTTAAAATTTAAGGGAGGAGGGAGATTATTAAAATGAAAACTGGTGGGGCGTGGTGGCTCACACCTGTAGTTCCAGCACTTTGGGAGGCCAAGGTGGGCAGATCACTTGAGGCCAGGAGTTTGAGACCAGCCTGGCCATCAGGGTGAAATCCTGTCTCCACTAAAAATACAAAAAATTAGCTGGGTGTGGTGGTGCACGCCTGTAATCCCAGCTACTCAGGAGGCTGAAGCAGGAGAGTTGCTTGAATCCTGGAGGCAAAGGCTGCAGTCAGCTGTGATTGCACCACTGCACTACAGCCTGGGTGACACAGCGAGACTCTGTATCAAAAACACAAAAAGAAAAAAGAAAAGAAAAGAGACAAGAGTGTTTCCTCTTTGCCCTGAATCTCAATGACTTCACCTCTCTCTCTATTTTTTTAGTATATATACTAGGAGTATTTAGATCCAGATTAAGTTAACCAGACGAGTCTCAGTGGTTTCTGTGCCCACATTTCTGGAAGCTGGTTCTGGTCTGTGATGATCCTTCAGACTGCACAGTGGCTACGAGGGAAGACACTGCCTGGATGTCTTCTCTCTCCTCTCAGTGGTTCCTCCCTATTTTTTTTTCTCTGAGAGGAAAAATGAGGGAGTGAAAACATGCCTCATCATTTATTGTGTAACCCTGGGCAAGCCATTTCACCTCTCTGTGGCTTAGTTCCACCCCTATTAAATGGAAATAATACTGTGAAACTGCTGCCCAGCCAATGAGCATGCAGTGAAGGCCAGACCAGCACTGTGATGAAAGGCTGTCTCAGCTCCCTTGGGGGAGCTCATGCAATTTGCATACATCAAAGTCCTCCCCAGGCCCATCCCCTGCCCTGCACACCCTGGCATGTGTCCTCAGGAAGTGGGGCTGACTGGGCCATTAAGACCAGGTGTTCCCAGCACCCCAAGTCCAGCTGGAGTGTGGGAGGCCAGGTCCCGGGATGCCCTCCGGGTACTGACCGTGCTGAAGAGCTCTGCAGCCTGCTCCAGGAGGCCCACCAGGCCACTCTCGGTGAAGTACTGGCCCGCGCACACCCCATCCTCGTCAGGTGACAGGGTGTCATCAGAGACCACAGACTCCTCCAGCACGTTGGAAGAAATATTCTGAAAGAGACCACAGTATAAGCCTGGAGAACAGGGCGACCAGACTAGTGAGAGACCACAGGAACCCAGAATGGGGAAATGAGGAAGCTGGTGTGCAGATCCTTACCAAGGCTGTGACTAAACTAGGTCTGTAATTCTACCCCAAGAGTATCAGTCTGCCATTCATTTAGAAGGGGCACACTGAGCAACTGGTCTTCAAACCTCACGTTTTTCTTTTTAACCATTAGGAGATTTCATATAAAGGACAATTACCTCAATGTCACAACAGCTGAGTTACTTTAGTGAGACAACCCTAAGGGACACAGGGCTGGTGTCTTGGTTTTCAAAAGGCAAAGGCCAATTAACACTAACTAGACTCCCTGTTTCATCGAGCGGACCTCTGACTTCCAGTGGTGTTTTTCTGAAGTATGTTTCTACTCTGGAGTTGGCTTTCAGATAAATAGCCATGACATAGGACAACAGCAAGTGAGGCTGTCTTCATTAGGGAAGTTTTCATGGCATTGAAGCAGTTACTGTGTGTGTGTGTGTGTGTGTGTGTGTATGTGTGTGTGTTTCTTTCTGAACATTTAGTTTCTATGCATTTTTTCCTTTGCAAAAACATTGCATTTAGAGCCTCTAGCAGAGCATGCAGAGACCATGGTCAGGGTGAAAAAAGTAAGAAATCCAAGACATAAAATTTAGAGAGGTACCCGCTTTTAGGGCCACTGAAGTACTGATCTGGTACCTGCTTGACCCTGAGGGTGAGTGCCTCCTCACCCTAGCACTGGCCCTGGCAGTGAATACATGACAGGTCAAGAATCATTCTTAGCTCACAGCTATGGAAGAAATGTATATAGAAAAGAGAAGAAAAGGGAAGCCTTCCCAGTTTAGGAATTACAAACAGGTGGCACACATGCCACTCCTTCCTATTGCTGTAATCATGGCAGGCATAACTAATCAACTGTAGCACTTTTCCCTAGAGCTTGGATATGGTCTCAAAATTCTTCAGCATAGTGCT